GTGGTTTTGAACAGTAAGAAAGACTCATGGTTCATGGTATTCCTTGCTCTTAATTTTCACCACGAACAGGGTTCTGATCCATAAATTTCAATGATTCCTTTTTCCGGCAGCCATGATGACGTAAGCACAGCGTAAAACGCAGAAGACAAGAAAATGACAACATAAGAGCAACGGAACACGGGAACGGGAAGCTGGAGAAATCGCCACAACAGACTCAAACCTGTGCAGGCCCACACACACGCTCAGGTTAAACAAACATGTGCAGGTTTGCCTGAACAGGATCACAAACGCTCCGGTATACCTGTAAAGGTCACCTACCGAGTTATATCTCACCAGTATACCGTAACCATAGACAAATAGAATAAATATAGACTGTCAGAGAAGGTTCCGGCGCCCACAGCTAGGAGTGCCGTGTAGTTACGGCGCACGAGGAGCGCAAGAGCAGTATGCTACCAGCAGACGTAGCAGCGGTCTGCGCCTTAACTACATGGTACTCCTAGCGGTGGGCACCAGGACATATGCTAACAGCAGCACTGCTGCCGGTCTATAATTATTCTATTTGTCTATGCCGTAACGTTTATGCCCGGCCTTAAACGGCCCACACTCTAGCGCGCATGTGCCTTGCGTGGCTCGTGGTGAGGTGACAGCGAGCGGCTCGAGGAACATGTGCGACTTAAATGGTGACCACACACTACAGACACATGCGCGCACACCACCGTCTTGACAATGCAATAGTAGGCTATAACAGCAAATACAACACAGTTATATTTAAATCATTATAATATTTAAACTCAATTGTATGGTGACCTTGTTATTTTTTAACTATTTGTTTTTCATTTTTGTAGTCTTTAGTAGGTACTGTAAGGACTATTTTTAAGGTAGCAAACAAAGTCGCTAAAGAATAAAATTTGCCTTTAAATAAGACATCAGTTGTGATTATTCTTCAATTCATGGCCGAGTTAAATCCAGCTAAAAAAGTGATGAAAAGTTGTCATGGGTTTTGGGTTTTCAAAACGCTTATAAGCTTACGCTTATAAAACAAGTGAGAACTAAGACATTTAAGGCCTTTATTTAGAGTATAAGAGTTTTATACTTAGATTTAATAAGTTTATTTAGTTCATCGATATGAAGCTCACGAAGAATGAGTTTTAGTCATGGCAAATGTATCGTAACTGTTTTGTTATCAATAGACAAAAGAAATAGGAGCTAATTTTGTATTTATACTTTCTGTTTGCATGCATTTGTTAGAAATTTTTACACTTTTCACTTCCCACCTATGGTCTATAAAGGTCGATAAACTCAAAACAACACTTTCTTTGGTCATTGAAGGATATTTTAATTAAACGACAAAGAAGTCCATAACCAAACAAACAAGGACAAATCAAATAGCCTACAAAACGTGGGGGGATAAATGTTGAATAACCAGAAACACCGTGAGCCATACAGGCGCAGACCTAGTAGTCGCCGATCTATACGCAGCGACAGTACTGTTACTGCTAGTTCGCGAACATGTGCCTCGGTTACCCACAGATTGGCGCGCATCGTAACTAGCTAGCGCACTTGTGGCGATACTCGAAGGTCCGGCGGCAGCACCAGGCGCCTCGCATGCGCAACGCATAGGCATATTTACCCACACACAGGGGCGCATGCGCCTCAAGCAATTCGTGTGTCACAAGTGCCCCAGTGTGTGGACTATTACATGACTATGGTATGGCGAGATCTTAACATAGGACCGATTTGTTATTGCTGTACGTTTGTTTGAACGAGTTCCCAATCATATTCCGACATGGGGTTTTATAGAGTAAAAAATGGGTTTCTCCCATTTTTGAACCTCGAGACATAAAATTTTGTAATTTATTTTGAACAATTTTGTAGAGTTTACAAAAAGCAATTGAAGCGCTTTTATAGGCTTAATGGTTACATAGAACATTTGTTTTGCAAAAAACGCTCCTAAAAATTCTACGTTTAAAATGTTTATTGTATTCTTATGTGTGAATTGCTGTAATTTACATGTATATGGATATATTTTGATCAAATTCGACCAATTTATTTATTACCTTTTTCTCTAGCAGCAAACCTAAGTACTGTAATTGATTTTCCCTATCATTGAAATTAATAATAAATCTGATAAATCTTGAAAGTAGGCTATAAGGAAATTGAAAAATCACTTAGTTTACAGTGGTATTTTTTTTCTACTTTTAAGTCACCTAGTCTTAGTCTAATACGCATCTAACAAAATGTTAAATGTTAGTATTGGAAACAGACAATTTAGGCCAATAGTTGACCTTTTTAAAGCCAACCTGGCGGCATCTTTTAACCTTGCATTTGCAAGTTCACATCTAGGCTATGGACCTTAGCTATAAAAATAGTATACATGTGTAAACAATATTACAGATGAATAAAACACAAATTTTCATGATGAAAACAAAGGTCAGCATTTTTTAAAGCTCCCAATAAGGAAGAAGCTACTGTACCGGTACCGTATTGCCAAATCCTGCATACAATAGTCCTTTGAATATTGAAAGATTGTTTTTTTAATAAGTTTAAAACCTCAGGATAGTTGTCATATATTTAATGCAATTCAATACAAATATAATAGAAAATACCACCATTCTATGACCTGTTCTTGCTGAATAAACTTCACGAACTATTCAAGTTCATCCCGCCCTAAACCTTCAAGATAAATTCAACCAAAATCGTATAAAGATTACTCGAGTTATCGTGTTCACGGACACATAAGTAGAAGCCTACATAACTTATAAAAGTTATCTATAAATATTTTAATTTAATAGGTGTTCACATAATAGGGCTGCTGATATATTAACTTAGGTTATAATAGTAAATAAGTTAAAGCATAAAGTAGCACCCTACAATAATTAAGTTATTAAATCTTTCTTGGACTTTTAGTGTTTTTAACCTATGGCGACATCAAAAGAAAAAATAAATCGGTCCCGGGCTCAGGTCTTACCTGCATCACTTAAACGGGCCTACGGCCTACGCTGCTGCGGTAGGGGTGCTGCGGGCCTACGGTAACTAAATGGCTAAGTTTACTTCCCTATAGGGAAATTTGCTAGTAAATTGTACAAGTTATTTGTACAAGGATTTGTACTCGTATCCTTTTTATAGGCCTAAGTTTCATAAGCAAAAAATTAACTTGGACATCAGTTTCTTACTTCAATTATCTTAACTTTAATTTTGATTTGAATTGGTTAAAATATGACTGATGCTTGGTGTTTACTTTCCTGTTAAAGAGAACATTCATTATTATTGATGATTTCTTTTCGATGTATCAATAATTTCTTTTAATCTGATATATTCATTATAACAAATTGAAACATATCAGTCGACAACTACGATAAGGATACAGTAAATAAATATTGTTCAGTATCAACAAACAATTAAAAAAATATTATAATGAAATAAAACTGTTCTAAGGTAACCTAACAAACTAAACTTGCTGTAACGTTTCAACATTCCATTTGATAGCCTATTCCCCATAGGCTATTCATTTTCTGTTATCAAACGGAAGTGTAAAACGGTAACTTAGCCTACAGTAAGTTTGGTTAGCTATGTTATGTTAGTTTAGAATAGTTTCATTTCCTAATCCAATAGGCAATAAGTTAGGCCTATGGGCCATTAACTTATTTTTGCCTAAACAAGGTTAAGTTTAGTTCTTAATTTGTAATTTAAATGCGTTTGAAGATATTAAAATAGAAGGAATACAGATCGTGAAGTAAAACAAAAATATCGATATATCGAAAATAAATCATCGATAATAATGAATGTTCCCTTTAACAGGAAAGTACTTTTACTGTTGCTCAGTTTAACTTACTTAAGGCTGTGTCTCACTAGGCTACTTTACTAGCCGCTAGCGAAATAGCGGCTACTCATAGCCAATCTGACATAGGCAGTAGCGGCTGGTAGGAGTAGCGCGCTAGTCTCATTTCACTAGCGTCGAGAATTGAACATGTCCAATTTTCCGAGCTACTAACTAGCGGCTAGTGAGTCACGTGATTGACTAGCGGCTACCGAGTAGCCGGAGTGACATGTGTACTAGCGTAGTAGCGGCTAGTGGCTGTGCATGTTTGGGTTTGGTTTGTTGTGGAAAAGTTGGTTTCAATTAAAATTTGTGAAAAATGAGTGAAGTGAAGTGGTGGGGCGATAAAAAAATATTGGTGACTACTGTAGTGATAGATAACATTTGAGATGACAATACATACAATAAAGTGTAGCATTTATATATTTTAAACCATGTTATAAAAACCATGTACAGGTAACTTTGATTTTGTTTGTCATTTGTTTTGTAAATTCTTGTGGAGAGATGTTTTATGCAGTAAAATTTATTTTTTATTTAAAATTTCTTTTTTAAAAGCCTTATTGTTACTCAGTAATATAGGCTAGATTAATTTGAGTGGGATAAATTACATGTACGAAAGTTAAATGCACCTGTCAACAACCTGTTTCCAATGAATGAGATACCATACACATACCTGTATAAATTGTCACCAGTTGCAAGATATCTTAAAGTTATTTCCAATTTCGTTCGACATGTTATTGCCACCCTCATTTTTGTATCTTGTTTTTGAATTAAAGGAGTTACCAAGGTTAGCAGCTCATCAAACTTTTTTACGGACATTCTCATAATATTGTAGTACGATTTCGGCTCCTCAACAGCTAGTTCTCTAATAAGTGTTCCTGATGCACCAAGCCTGTCTCTTCTCTTAATCCACTCTCTTACCCAGGAGCGTTTCTTCTTGTTGCGGATATTTTCAATTAAATCAATACAAACATCACTAACGCACATCAAAATTAAACGCCGTAATTCAACCCAGCTTATATCAACGGACGACATTATCACAGGATTGACACTGACTGGCTGAATCGCTGCTACTAGGTAGCCGCTACCGACATTTGTTGTGTGACAGCTTTTACTAGCGGCTACTTCACTAGCCGCTACTAAATAGCAGCTAGTAAGTAGCCTAGTGTGACACAGCCTTTACCAATTAAGTTAAAAGCAGTAGACTCAGTTTATAGTCTAGGTCGAATTGCACAGTACAAGATCTGAATCCCATAACCTATAAGTATAAAACATTTGATCAATTAAGTTTCATTCCAATAGAAAAACCTTCATTAAACATAAATCCTGTATTTTTAAATAGCAATAAGTTAATGATATGGCAAAATATATGTTAAAAAATGAACCAACTCCTTCGTTATGGCAATGTTACTTAGGCTATATTAGGCCTAAGTTTAACACTAATACCGAAATCCCGGTCTGACATGTCCACGGGAATTTTCAAAAACGCATGTTGGCAACACTGTTTACTTGGGAGATTCCATTCCCCCAATAACTTACCTTCCCCTCCTTTTCCTACCCTACCAATAGATATATTGTTTGATCATTTTGCATGGGTGCCGTGACCTAGACAGGTTGTCTGTTCATAACATGTCCGTCTCGGAAGCCCAGCGTTAGTGTATTTTAAAACGGGGTCTCACAGGCCGAGGGTTTCGGTTTGTGTGTTTCTAAGCGGGTTCCATTATTTTTCAAATAGGGGGGGGGGTCTTACAGACCGGGGGTTTTGGTTAACGTCAGCCTAGGTGGGGTTTAGGTTTTATTAGTGTTAATCACCTTACTGTATTAACAAGGGGGTACACTTCCATATCAGTTGGCACAAACAACCGAATGAGTAATATCAATCGAAGGGTACCATCAATATTAAATCATCAAGCAGGCCTTAACATATTCTCTACAGCCTAGTTGACGCAATTATGCAGTTTATAGCTTACTGTCAAAAATAAGGATAAGTTATTGAGTTTGAGTTTACCTTGGGGGTATAGATTCTTAACTGGGCTACACTACTATCAGTACCTAGGTACTATCGATTGAAAATATGGATTCGATTGGTAGGCTAAGCTTAACACGTTCGCTACTGAGCGTCGCATATATGCGACGCCGCGGTCTTTGCCACAGACCGAGGTATACATTTCAATCTTACACATAGACCGGCTGTCACTTGGATAACATGTACACACAGACCACGGGCGAAAACCTGTAAAACAGTGATCATTTACATTGTAATACGCTACAATAGTGTTTGTAAATAAATTGTTCTTGTTTTTTTATATTTTTTATAACCTTTTGTAATGTCGCATATTTGCGACGCCCGGTCTACAGCGAAAACAATGGTGAAAATTATCATAGTTTTCTTAAAATAGACTAAACGTCGCATATATGCGACGGCTCATTTTTTTGTGTTTTAAGGTGAAAGTAAGTAAAAAAATAAACAGATTATTCAAGAACAGTTTATAACTGAACAAATATAAAAGCTACATAGGATAATGCAGCATACATACATACAGTGATGCAGAAAAGTAAAGACCACTTTTTCCTACTATTATATGACGTCACCAATCATCATATCCACAGACCAAGCGACGCAGTTGTGCGTCAGACATCTCTGTAGACCACTGCAGGGAATTCAGTGCCTTCAAATAGACCACTACAAAGATATAAGCATTTTAATAACATTAGAACCCCGACGCAAATATGCCTCGGCAGTCGCGACGGCAGTCTATGGGTAGAAACCGGCCGTCGCATATGTGCGTCGCTGGTCCATGTGAATGGAAAATTTCGTACTATTGCAGTAGCGAACGTGTTAAACCTTCATTCAATTTTTTTGTTCAGCAAGTTTGGTTAGGTTATTTTATAATTTTGACATAGGGCCTAACTTAGTTAAAAAATACCAATGAAGGTTTACTAATCGAATCAATATTTTCAATCGATGGTAGGGCCTAGCGTAGCACAGTTGAGAAAGTTACCGGCTGCACTTTACTTTAGGTCCTACAGTCATTCGAATGAAAATATCGATTATTCTATTGTTTCATTCGATATATCGTTTGGTTAGTTAGGTTAGGTTAATAGGTAATCGATTAATTAATATATCGATCGATATTTTCATTTGAATGAGTGTAGGACCTAAAGTAAAGTGCAGCCAAGTTACCCTACCTAGGATCTAACCTAGTTGGTAAAGTTGGATGTTGGAACTATGGCTCAGTACTTAGTAGTCTATAGCCTAGATAACAAGTTGACAATGCCAGTTAGGCCTAACTTAGTTGAATTAAAATTATACAGAAACAGCATGCCTCAAAAAGTAAAATAATCGGTTCAATGAATTTATCATAGCGTAGAAGACATACCGGTAGGCCTAAGTAAAGTTAGGTTTGAAATGCCCAATATGCTATTTATCTAGAGACCTAGGCTAGCGAAATGAAAAGGTTTTTTAGCTCATATACTTAGACTTAGACCTACCTGAATGTTACACTGCTTTAAATGCTAATCACTAAAGCATTTTCACAAAATAAAGTTAGTGAAATGGAGGTCGACGGTGTAACTTACACTCCCCCCAATTAATTTTTTAATTCGCAATCAAACATAACAGTCAAATGTCATAACTCTCTGAATAGAATAAGCCGATTCGAGCACAAACAAACGAGTGCCGCACGATTTCTAGAAAGTACCGTAACTAAACTAACTTATGGGACGTGAACACAACAACACACAATCACACAAAATTGACACAATAACAAAAAACACAAACAAACAAACGCCAGCCAGCCAGTGCCAGAGTCACAAACAAAATGACAGGACAGGACAGGAACGGAACTGGGAACCGGAACGGAACCGGACAAGCCGACAAGATGAAATAGGAACGTATTCAAGAAAAAAACGCAAAGTTAGCCAACATGGTAAACTAATACTGTAAACGGATAAATAAATGTGTTAAATATATAAACATATAACATACTCCTTATAAGTAGATTTCTCATCCTTATGCCAAATACAATGCCTTGTGCCTTAGCTGAAGCCAATTTTATTGTTAGTTCTGCCCGGTGCTATGAAGAGATCGTTTTGTTTTCATTCCAACGGCAAAACCATTATACATGCAATACAATAAAGATGGCTAGGTACTATTCACATACTCCAAAAATTAATGAATACTGTGTGCTAACAAATACATAACATAGCAAGCAAATAAATAAGTAGTAATAACTAAACGCAGGGCCGATTTACCGAATAGGCAAGGTAGGCACGTGCCTAGGGCGCGAAGCAATTGGCTTTTTTTGGGGGGCGCCAAAAAAATTGGAAAAAAGAAAAAAATTGTGGCCGTTTTTGCATGCGATCGCGGTAAACTGATAATCCCTTGCGGCCGTGAAGACACCTTAACAGTCTCCCACAATTGCGGCAAGATGTCAATTATTTACCGCGGTTGTATATACGTCATCATCGTCCGTCTCCCGCGATCGCGTCAAAGTTCTGACTATTTCCAGCGGATGTGTGGACATGATTATCGTCTTCCTTGATCGCGGCAATATATGAACACATCCCGCGGTCGTGATGAGATTATCACCGTCTACCGCGAATGAGGCAAAATTGTAATCTTTTCCCGGGGTCGTGTGGACATTATCATCTTGCGTGATCACGATAAAATTCTGATAATCCCTCACAGCCGTGAAGACATCATCGCCTCCCGTGGTCGTGAGGCATTGTCATCCTCTCCCGCCATTGCGGCAAATGGTAATCATCTCCCGCGGTTGTTTGGAGATCATCATCGTCTTTCACGAATGAGGCAAATTTCTGATCTTTCCCGTGATTGAGTGGACATTATCATCGTCTTACGCGATTGCGGTAAAATTCTGATCATCCCTCGCAGCCGTGTAGAGTAGACATCATTATTGTAACTCCCGCGATCCTGTAGACATCGCAATCGTCCCCCGCTGTCGTGAAGACATCATATAATCGTCTCCCTCGGTCGTGAAGACATCGTAATCGTCTCCCGCGATCGTGAAGACATCGTAATCGTCTCCGCGCGATCGTGAAGACATCGTAATCGTCTCCCGCGGTCGTGAAGACATCGTAATCGTCTCCCGCTGTCGTGAAGACATCGTAATTGTCTCCCGCGATTACGGCAAAATGTTAATAATATCCCGCAGTTATGTGGATATCATTATCGTCTTCCGCGATCGTGGCAAATTTCTGACTATTTTCCGTGGTTGTGTGGACCATGATCATATCCCGCGGTCATTTAGTCATTACCATAGACTCGCGCGATCGCGGTAAAATCATGATCATATCCCATGGTCGTTTAGACATTATCATCGTATCATGCGATCGCGGCAATATTCTGATTATCCTTCACGGCTCTGTGGATCTCATTATCGTATTGCGCGATCGCGGTAAAATCATGATCATATCCCGCGGTCGTTTAGATATTATTATCATCTCATGCGATCGCGGCAAAGTTCTGATCATCTCTCGAGGCCTTGTGGAGACATATTATCGCCTCCCGTCTCCCGTGGTCACGGAAACGTCACTGTTGTAAATTGACAATTCCAGGTAGAAATAGAAAATTAACACATAATTCCTGGTTCAAAAAATTCACGCTTAGTTCCCGGATTTCCCGGTTGGTGGTCACCCTGTTATATATTGCAAAGGGGCGCTACTATTAGTTGTGCCTAGGGCGCTGACATGGTCAAAAACGGGCCTGACTAAACGATAGCAACAACAACGACAAAACTATGGCTAATTAATATAAATATTGACATACCACAAAAAAATGTTCGTCCATTAAGTATATTATATAGATCAAGTTTCTTTAAAACTTTTGGAGACGATGTTTTGACGGATTAAGCGCATGCTGGGAAACACACAATCTCCTCACAAATCATGAGGATACACAATGACCGAATGACCAGAATTTGACCACGGGTTTAATATCATACTAATTGAACAGAAGTCATTCATAAAATCAAAATCTATATTTTAAAGACCCTGAAATGGGATTTCTTATTACATTCAGGGTATCCAGCCTCGACGTAAGAATCTTGAACGGGTTATTTTGTGAAAGGAGGGGGCTTAGGACAATTTTGAAATGCCATTTAATTTGCGGTTCTTCACTGGTATAATGATTTATTTGTTATAAATTATATTTTTTATCATTCTTTTTTTAACATAATACGACATTAGGCCTACGATTTTATTCATTTTGGACATACAATAAGGACAATACATAAATTAGGTAATATTTATACTGAAACCCATTTTCTAATGTCGGGTACAAGGTGGAAATCCAAGCTTAAACGGCCATTTACGGGTGCACTCTCCTCTCCCTAAATAATATTATTTTTTTGTAATATTTGAAGGAAATTACATTTTTTAAACGTTATTTAGCCTTTGAGTATAGTTTTCCTCTTACTTCCTAGAATATCTTTTCTAACGTAAGTTGATAGAAGATTTATCCGGTTTAATCGCCATTGAATGATTTCTCCCATATTGTACGCACTTTCACTACTTTGGCTCGCTACATGCTCCATTACCACCGGAGTACGCGAGTTTTCCTTCTGTTCCTAATTCAATTCGTATCGTATAAGTTATTCTCATTTGTCTCATAAGTTAATGTATTTTGCTTTCACGTCGGAAATTTCATAGCTATTTTACTGGCATTCAGCATTCCATGGGTATCCCAAATGGATATGTAACCTTTCGATAACGGTATTAGCATTACCAAGGCCAAATTGTTGAGTTTTAATGATCAAATGTTTCATTCTTGCTTGATCATGCTCATTGGCTAGGCCCGTCCTAAAATAAAAGGTTAAAATAATCATCTGGAACTACTATAGGAAGAGAGTCTTAGGACAGTTTAGTAATACAGTTTGCCATAGTCCATTGTGTTCATATTTGCAATTTAATACAAAGACGTGCGAAACAGAAGTTTGAAAAGATTCATGTGCTGGCCTTCAGAGATGCACCGAGGTCAAGTTTGACTTGCAATGCAGGTGACTCTTCGCATCGCCCCAGGCCAGCTGTTCAGACGAGTTCCGCCCGTTAGAATGATTGCCATTTTAATATACTCGCCCCCATCCGTCTGAGAAAACACGCAGCAGGAAGTAAACAGCAATTTTATCAATTCTTGAAGAGCATCGCCATAAAACTAGCTGGCTGGGATGAATGCAGTTTGGTTTGATCAAAATGATCGTGGATCGTGGTTTTGACATAGATTTACCTTTGGGGTTTATATTCCCTGACGGCAGCGCAGATTGGTAAAAAGATCTCAAAATATATTAGCAAATTGTTTTCCTTATAAAGTTCTATCTATATCGCATATAACACACCGTCGTTTATCCAGTTCAACTACTACGAATAGTAACGACCCAGAAATGATCTGCTGGTAGCATTTCAAAGTTCTACTGTTGGACATTTCTGCACCAACCAAGTATTTCTGTAGACTTCCTATCGGGGTTTTTAGGAAATTCCTACAAACAACTCTGCTGAGAATGAAGTTAGATTGAACCATCACGTAATGTGCGTTCATCCAGCATTCCAGAACCTACAACAGCAGAATGCTTCATTCTACAACTGAAATTTCTTAACCCCTAACAATTAATTGTTAGGAGCTTTCAACTCAATAATTACACCTTCTTCTTTGTCTTGCTTCATTCTACAACTGAAATTTCTTAAGCCCTAACAATTAATTGTTAGGAGCTTTCAACTCAATTTTCCCAAGTCCTCCAATCATCAGTCTTCACTGATGATATGCCCAAGTCCCCCAGATTCAAGATGCAGGTTAATTAAGGGTCTAAAGTATCACGAAAGAATTCCTTCTACCTTACTATACTCAAGATACAGACCATCTTAATGTCTCAAGTGGCTAAGGTATTAAATTAGAACACTATCACTGGTGCCCCATTCTCTAGTTAGATGCAGTTCGTGTGTCAGAGGTGACTCAGCCAGGTGCTCGGTCTCCAGCCTCCAAATGGCGACGCCGTAAATAGCCTCGCTCCTGGAGACCACCTCCTACTCCTCCATCCTTGAGTGAGATGTTGTACAGCTTACGTCTTTTATATGGATTAACTTTTTGTACGAAGTACCGCAATGTCATTCACAGATATACGCATTAACATTTTGTCTCACTCAGAAGAGTTTGATATTTCATTCGAACAGCATCAACCAGGGCGGAAATGAGTGAAAAGGGGGTGTTGAATGAATTACATAGCTTTGTCACTGTTTTCATGGAAATACTTTAAATCGATTACAAAATGCCCACAAGCACATGGCACATTTGAAAGACTGGAATGAATCCCTAAAAGATTTATTTAGGAAATACCACAAATGCCTTACTAGCCATTTTGGAAGAATTTTTCAGTGTCATGGTGGTCGTGATACAAAGGACATACATTTTCATTTCATTTTATGCTATATAAGATAGAACATAGAACCAAACTACGTAAGAACGTGCGTCTGATGCTGAGTTAAGTGGAACCACACCATTGAGAGAGAGAGAGGCATGGTTCTCTCTTCATCCTGTGGTTGTACATTTATAAACATTTACGTTTATCTTTGACACACCATTTTCACCTACTATTGAAGTTGTCACCTACAATAAACATACTCCCTTAGGATAAAATTCGTTCAAATATTTTTTGAAAAATAAAAAAATCTTTGAAAAAATTGCAATCGATGTGAAGCAGCGTAATCCGCAGCATATTTGGC